AAGATATAAATGTGTTCCACTTAATTGAACTGCTTCTAACTGAGACCTGATGCTAGTCTTTTTGAGACAGGCATGTCTAAAAGGAATACTATAGAAAAAAGTGTTTACTTCTACTGAACATACAATATTGGTTGAAGAGAAGACGCAATTAGATAATGAAATAAATACAATTGTCTGTAGGTGTGAATGGTTATTTGTCTACACGTGTCAACCCCGTGATGAACTGGCAATCTCCTGCCCAGTGTCAGCTGGGATCCGCTTCAAACCCCTGTGACCCTGTAAGGGATATGTGGTGATAGATGATGGATGGAGGAGACAAAAAATGTGAAAGGCCCTAAAAATGCCAATAGATCCTTCTAAATGTTACTACTGCACCTTTAACTGGCCGTTATAAAAATCAGGTTACATATATTCATCATACAAAGTTCAAATCTTTAAAATTTCAGTCCTGGTTGATTTGGTGACCCCAGCTTCAACACTACAGCTAAGCAGGTAAAAACTGTTGAGGTCTGTTCACAGTGCAGCCAAACAACCTCATGTTGTTTTAATAAAGAAGTCGGTCAACAACTGGCCTTTTTTCATCTTGCCATGATCCAGTGTGATATGATTTCACACTGTGTACTACCACGAGTAGTTTTCCATGCAACAGCAGGACCCACACAGTGAAAGGAGTTGGCTGAGTTGGAGGTGTGCACCTGCAGCTCTTCATGTAACAGCTCACTGCGGCTGTTCCTGACTGTTAAATGAAAACTGATCCACTGACAAAAAGTGCTGAATGCTGTGGTATTGATGAGTCATGTTTAAGTGAGTTTCTGTTGCATGCAGGTAAACTGTCTTTGTAGAGAGCAATAAAAGGTGGAAGTTATCAGAATCAGAATCAGGTTTATTGCCAAGTAAGTTTTTACACATACAAGGCCTTGGTGCATTGGTGCGTAAGAATCACAAAAAATCAAGTACTTTTTAAATATAAAAATATCAAGTTGCTAATCGGACTGCAGAGGAAGTCTTTGTATATGGGTTTGCGCTGGCTACACTGGAAGCATTAAAACATTGCCCGTTGCCACCAGAGGCTGAATCATCATCAGATGATAGTCACTGGGTTCCAAGATCACTTTTATTGTGAACTAGCAGCAGTAGGAAAATAGCAACATAAATAAAATTCCAAAATGAAAAGGGTTCATCCTCTGGGAAGCATGAAACTCCCAGCTCCGATTTCATATTTCTTGTGTTCAAATGGAAATGACAGCATTACAGGTCAGGGAGTCAAAATTTGGACATGAGCATCATCAAAATGATTAGACGCCATCCATTGGGTACTATCTTCATGAGATATCAATGACATCAAGTCATTCATTTTTCTTATCTTACACACAACCTCATTGAAATGATCAATTCCCAACCAACAACAAAAGTCTCATTTTCGTTTGAGGTGGCGAATGTGTTAAGGCACAATTGGGCTAAAATCTCCGGTTATTTGTTAATGTTGGCCAAAAGCTAAGGACACACAATATGGACACTGTGAGGAATGTTTCTTATATAAACCACAAAGCCCTTCATGAGCTTCTTTTAATTTGTACAAACTCATACTTTGCCTTTCATGAGCTCTTATTTGAGTCCAATATAAACTCTGTCTAATCCATTCACGGCTGTTGGTCCTGTCTGGGTTCCTGTTGTGTCTTCTTAGTTCTCTGTGGTTGACTCAGGCGTTACAGCACCTCTTCCTGCATGCTGTACACACTTCCTGTTTATCCTTTGGACTGCCATGAAAGTGTGATTCTGAGCGGTTCAGCAGGATTTGGCCTTTTCGTTACCACATTTCAAGGAAGCCTCACACCGAGTCTCGTCACGCCTATGGCTACAAAATGAAGAAAATTTGAAATATTTGAGACAAGTGTTCTCACAGAACCCTGTTAGAAGTTTGTAAGAAAAATGTTAAAACTGCTTTATGGGACTGACTCCTCAGGCTTGCGGTTGGTGTCAGATATCGAGCTGAGAAAATAAACAACAGCGTGATGAATCGCCGACAACTTCTGACCTCCATGTGTTTTGGAAATGTTTGCCTGGCTGACAAACAATGGTTGGCACACGGCCAGGCAAGAGGCTGCCAAACTGGCAACCCCTCTACCCCTCCTCGTCTCCCCCCCTCCTCCAGCCCCTCCATCAATGTCTGACGCAGCGTGGCCAGTACACACATCCTGCCTTTGTGGGCCAGGAATGCCAAGAATCCAGACTGCTGCTGCCCAACAAGGTGCTCTCACCCCATCTCCCCCCGACTCCAGCGTCCCTGTGGTTTTACAGCCCAGCCGGCCGGGTGTCTGGGTGGCTGCGTGAGGTTTGATGTTGTGCTCTCTCGGAGCAAAGCAACATCACCACTCCAGTCTGGAGCTACGACACCTGCTCTCTGGAAGTGAGCTGTGTCTGGTGGGGACCGACTTTCAGCCTAGAGGCCACAGGTTTGCTCCCAGCAACTTGCTTAAGTTTGATGAGGTTTTCAGGGTGGGCTGTGGGGCGCTGAGGTCAGTCTTTTTCATCTTTAAATGTCTTTAATGCCACAAAGTGTGGAAAGGCTTCTGAAATATTATGGCATTACAATTCCTTCCACAAATCCACAAAACTTTTACCACCTGCAACACATTCTGGTGGTAATAATGGTTCTCTCTTTCCTGTAAATCATCAAACATTTTGGTTTGTGGTCCCTTAAAGGGGCTATGATTAATATTTTTTGGGGTCAGATGACTGTATAATGTGAAAGCGGTCACTTTCAGCTGTAGAGGGTAGCAGTTTTAACCTTTTTAAACAGCTGTTTATTAACCTTCTGTACGCTACCTGCCTAGCACTTGCAGATGACAAAGTAAGAGACTAGCTGGTGACCACAGTGGAACATATTCCCCTCAGGGAGACAAAAAACGGAGCTAAAAGGGAGTGAATGTTGCATTCATCAGCTGGCAAGAATACGACTACCAATGACTGCTAATGCTGCGTTGTATCAGCTGGATGTGTTACTAAGCAACTATTTACTGACAATAAGCAAATTACCATAACTACTTAAAACGTGCTATTATGTTACTGATGTGTTCACAGCTTATGTTTTGTTGCCAACAAGTGGCCACAAATAATTAGTTATTGCAGGTTGAAAGAGCAAATTAACAGCGGATAAAAGTCTTATTGCGGCATACCTCCGCTCACATTGCTGTACTGATGTAGATGTGAACTCAAGGGTGTGTCAGTACACTGTGACATCACTATTAGGTGTGGTTACAGGTGCAACAGAGCACACTTCAGACCTCACCCAGCATGGGTGACTTGAAACTTTCAACCAGAGAGACAGTGAAACACTGCTTTCCAGCATGTCTGCTTATGACTGGCTATGATCAGCCAGGTCCCAGACCTCTGAAATAGGTCTAATTTTAGCCTCATTGATGAGGGCTCCAATCCAATCCAAACAATTAATCAGAGTGTTTGTAGACAGGATTAAGAATGGGGCCGATATCTTCCCAAATAGCTACCTAGCTACATTCATGAAAAATAGTGACAGTAAAATGGCCTCAAAAATAATTGTCACAGCTGTACAGGTTCCACATCTGCATATTGCTTCAGTCAACATTACAAAGGAAAAGGTTAAAAATAAGACACTGAAAATGAGTTTTGCGATTGAAAATTCATTCTTGACTTATAAAGCAAAAAACAATCTCACCACAAAGTCTGCTCAGGACCTTTTGATCTTGTCACATGATCTTCCTCAATAGATAGAGTAGCCCAGGTAGGACTTTTTGTCTACATTGCTTAAAAGCTTTCAATCTCCAGAACAGCTACTAAGACCTAAAGTGCGTAGAAAATTGGGAAAGCATCTATATTTCCATGACAACTGGGAACACTATCTGCTGAAGGAGATCATTTGATATGTTTAAAAGCTCCAAAACATCCCTTTATTCATCTGTTGCCCTTCTAAATGTTTTTAACCCTCAGGGTGGGAATCACTGCTAAAAAATGTTACTCTGCACTCCGTTCCGGTCAAAGGTCCCACAGACACAGTGCTGCTCAGTTCATCTGTAATTATGCCATGCTTAATTAATGCATCATATCCATAATCTTATATAATTATGATATATATCTTGTTAAATTGGTTTTGACACACAGATGTATTACATTAGTTGCGTCCACAGTCTTAGTACTTTCTCTCAGCAGACTGTGTACACCATGTTTTTAGGGAACAAGGGGAGACCTTCAGCAGCTTATCAAATGCGGCAAATTACATTTCCCATGTTTCATGAGCCAACGCTTAATGTGAGGACCTTCCTGCTCTCCAACAAAACACTTTTTACGTGCCCCTGGGATGACAATGGGAATGCAGAGTTTTTCCTACCAATCATGGGAACCTGAGGATAGGCCTGTATTTCCTGGAATGCGGCCCATTAGGAAAGAGATGGAGGGAACACAGGATGTCCTGAGCACTGTGTCCCACAGCACACTGCAGTGTGGAGAGAGCACAGAGCCTGGCTGCTTGGTCAGAGCTCGTGGAAGATTTGTTCACAGGGATTTTCTCCACATCACCACTTCCCCTGTTAAATACTCTACCACGATGGACTGGGATTCCCTACTCAGGTTTTCCATTACACCTAGTCCTACCATTGTTTTTTTTTTCTTACAGACATCTGTCAAATATGACCTAACCTGTCTTATACCCCTTGGTATGCATGTGTGGGAGGGTCAGGGTTACCCTTTAAGTCAAGAAATACAATATATTTGAATCAATATTTGGTTGCCTGCATAGACCAGCTAATAATAATTATTTGTCTCTTGCGTATATTTTGACACCTTTCTCTCTGAGGTCACATGTTCACAATTACGCAGTTATTTGAACATGTCTCCGCCACATTTTCACACCAGCAAGCCCGCCACCTCCTCCCTCTGGACACTCTCCAGCCGTCTTAAGAGGAGAGCCGATGATATCACAGGGAGGGCGGGGGCATGTGTGTCTATAAGTACAGGCCCCGCACAGGGAAACCTCTCTATGAAGCGGAGCTGAGCTGTGCTGAGCTGTGCTGACACTTAGATACTGTATAGGAGATCAGGCAAGAGCAGACGAGTGTACCTCTTGGTGCACAGACTCTCAACTGTGGATACGTTTTTATACTGGAGCTGAAAGACAAGACTTTTCCCCTCTTGGGACGGTTGATCTGGACCACTTCTTCCTTCTTACTTCCTGTATTCCTTTTGAAGGTTTTTACCCGTGTCTTTTGGTTTGCCTGCTGTAATCAGGATGCTTAGCCCTGTTACTTTGCAGCAGATCATTTCCACCCTGTTTGTGCTCGGCAGTGCAGCAGTGATGGTGAGTTCAGTGACTTGTGGCATATTGCTTTTAAACTATTTATTTCATGTTGGTTAGTCATTATAGCTAATATTGGATGAACTTCCATTTTATTCCTTTTATCATTTACACATCCAACCACTGTCACACATCCTGACCTCTGACCTTCTTTCTCAGGCAGAGGTCGAGTGCCCGGCCGAGTGCTCCTGCACCCCCTCACCCCTGCTGTGCCCGCCAGGCGTCAGCTGGGTGACTGACCACTGTAACTGCTGTAAAGTCTGCGCCAAGCAGTTCAATGAGGACTGCAGCGCCACCGAACCTTGCGATCACATCAAGGGGCTACGCTGCCATCTGGGGGCTGGAGGAGACCCTGAGAGAGGACTGTGTCGAGGTGAGGGCAATAGCTTGGCTGGCCAAAGGACATGATTAAACTGAGCTATTACAAAATATGGGTTTACATCACAAAAAGTTGTTTGGTTGAAAGTCAATCCTGAATGTAGTGAAAAATGAAAAGTGAAGAACATGAAACAATATAGTAACAAAAGGGGTCACCAGATTTGTTAGGGTTTTTTTGTTTTTCTGACTTTTCTCTTGATTGTATTTTTTCCTTGTAAAATACTGCATAATTTCTTTAAAGCAGTCAATTCCATTGGTTGAACAGCTCAAGTAATGTCACAAGTAGACATTCATTCATTTTAAGGGTCCACAGACCACAAGGTATAAGAACCACTGGACTAGATAATGTAACCCAAAAGGAAAACAGGATGTATAGGCTATACTGGGTGAACTATAATTAGTTTTCCCAAATGATGTACAGATCATCAGTCATTCTATTATCTCAACTTACTTGACATACAGCTGCTGTAAACGGGAAAACATCTCATGCACCCAGACACCCCTAGGTTTGGGCTAAGCCCCAAATGTTTACAATGTCTCGCTCCACCCCTGGTGGAAGAGCTCTTTCAGGTCCGACAAAATAACCCTGGTGATGAGGGTTATTTTGGAGAATACAAAACTTAACCAAAAAACTGCATTACATACTGGAGGTGTGAGGTTCTAAAGACGTGAGTGCAAGGGTCAAATAAAAGGTGCTATTAAGTTGTAAGTTGAGTGTAGTGTATAGTCCTGACTAACAGACAGGATATTACGGCCTCTGTTGAACAAATGTTTTTTTTTTTAATTTGGAATTGCAATCCAAGATCATTGGCATATCCCTGTAAATTGTTCAAAAAGCATGAAATCCTGAAATATTCCTTTTTTGAAAATATATCCCTTTGCGCAGTTTCTTCTGACAGGCTATGATGTATTTGTGTACAGATGCTAGGGTTCTATCTGTCCTTCTGTGAAGCCCTAAGGTCTTTCCTCAGCTCTGTTTCCTGTTTTGTGTGTGTGTGTTGACAGCTGAGGCCCAGGGTTTGCCTTGCGAGTTCAGCGGGCGGGTGTACCAGCACGGCGAGGACTTCCAGCCCAGCTGCCAGCACCAGTGCACCTGTATGGACGGGGTGGTGGGCTGCATGCCCCTCTGTCCTCACCAAGTGCCCCTGCCCGACTGGTGCTGCTCGAGGCCCCGGCTGACCAGGCCTGAGGGCGGCTGCTGCGAGGAATGGGTGTGTGACGATGACAACCACATCAGTGAAGAGCCAGACGAGCTGACACACACCCCCCTGCCAGACAGCCAGCCCCTTCCCAACCACATCAGTGCCCTGCTGCAGGTCCAGCCGCAGCCTCGGCACCCAGCTGCCACCAGAGGGGCCACATTCAGAGGTAAACATCACAGCGTAACTCAGCAAGGCTTTTCCCAATGCCCACCACCAACACTAACTATGGTCTAAAGGAGGTTTTTCATGTAGATGTGCAGGAGATGCACAGCGCCAACATCATTGAAAATGAAATTTTCCACATTATGATAAAATTTCATGGTTAAACAAATCCACTGGTACAGGCTATGACTCCAACATTTTATTAGAAACCTTCTAAGAACCAGTTTTCTTTTTCAACGGCTAGAGAACACACATAGAGCCACGTCATTACGTCACTGTAATGTCTCCAATGTTAGCTTTTGTTACCAAAGTTACACTAGCTGCCTAGCTAGCCAGCTGTTGGTCAGTTAACGTTACAAATATTATATATTATGAACGTTGAATGTAACATAAATGTTATGAATGACCACTGTAAGAAATTAGTCGCTATGCTTGCTGGGGTAATGTTAGTTCACAAACAGCTAGCTAGCTAGCTCAATGTTATGTATATAAAATCTATGTTATGACATAAGTTGTTCTTGTAGAATTGTGATGTTGCACTGGAACCAGTTTTCAAGGCCCCAGAGCCAGTTCTTTGGCTGTTGAAAAAAGTAAATAACTGGGTGAGATTTGGCACTGGCTGTGAACTGGTAAAAAATAGGTAATAAATATATTTAAAATGAACAAACAAGACCATTAGAGAGAAGATGAATTACTTCTATATAGTTATTCTTAATGCCTGCTGCCAGGTCAGATTGGGTTAGTTTCCCTTTGAAATAAATAAAAAACACTACCACCTTTGTCCACAGGGGCCGCCAGAAACACAAAGGTTCCTTTCAGGGGCTGTGAACAACATTTAATGTCTTAAGCCCTGCTAGTGACCTTTCTAGGGAAAAGGTCATGAGGTTATTAAAATTCTTATCCTCCTGGAAGAGTGAATGTAAAAATCTTAAACAAAATGTTTATAATACAGGTCAAGGGGTTGCCAGAACCTTTATGATTTATCTTTTGTGGATCATAAATGTCTGAAGGATTTCATGAAAATGTGTCGTAGCTATTGAGATATCACGCTGAGTGTGTAAAACAAAACAACCGACTAACATCCCCATTGTTTTCTAGTACTGGAGCAGAAAATAGAATCACAGAAACATAATATCATAAATACATCATAATGCTGAATGGTTGCAGGCATACATTGTTTAATTGTAACTCGCTGTCTTTCATTTTTTGGCTCTCCCACAGAGATGGCATCGGTCCCCATGTCTGAGGTGTTACTTGAACACAGCTGCTTCCCGCAAACCACAAAGTGGACCGAGTGTTCCACCACATGTGGGATGGGCATTTCAAGTCGAGTGACCAATAGTAACCCAGACTGTCGGCTGGTCAGAGAAACCAGACTGTGCCAGATCCGGCAATGTGAGCTGCAGCTTCCTGTAGCTAGCAAGGTATGCTAAACATAGATAAGATAGATAAAACTTTGCTTTGGGTTGATCATATTTGTCAGTTAAAGAGTTCATGTGAATTTCACAATGTATGGAAAATAAACATGCATTGTCCTTTGATGAAAATTGGTGTTTCATTATGTCACTCTAATAATCTGTTCTGATCTCCGTTTCTGTTGTCCAGAAGGGGAGGAAGTGTCAGCGAACTGTCCGCCCCCAGGAAGAGGTCGGAATCACCTTTGCCGGATGCTCGACAGCACAGCGGTACCGCCCTCGCACCTGTGGGACTTGTGCTGATGGCCGCTGCTGCACGCCCTCCCACTCTCGCACTGTGAGGCTTCGCTTCCACTGCCCGGACGGAGAGGGCTTCTACAGAAATGTCATGTGGATCCAACGCTGCAGCTGCAGTACAAGCTGTCGCACACACAGCGGGCCCTCCAGCCCTTCAGTCAGCCTCCACAACGACATCCACACCTTCAGGCACTGAGGCTGACTCATCACGCTCAGCCCTGGCCTGGCACACTGGGCAAAGACTCTGCACCCCCTCCCCCTGGGTGAGCTCCTGTCACCCCCCTCCTCCTCCTCCCTAACCAGGCAATACGCTCGCTTGCACTTTAAGCTTCCTGCCACGATGGCATCAGTTTGTCCACACTAGAGGTGTGTTAGCTCTCTAGTACCAGGGCAGCACTGAGGACAACACACTACAGTGTGCTAACTGTTGGCAGACAGTTTTTACTGAAACTTCTTTTATTTATTTGTGTCCTCTCCACAGAGGGCCACATGACAGTTTGTCATACAGAGAGAAGGTTGTTTAGACCAGTAACAGACAGAGAACATTGATGAGATGTGATGGGAATTATGGACATGCAATCTAATTAATGAGGAGGAACTAGATGACATAAGACATATACGTTAGTGACCATAGGAACTATGTGTTCATCATTGCCTGTCCTTTTTCATACAATGTTTCCTACACATGTATTGATTGTGGAATTCATTAAGAGAGTGTGTGTGTGTGAGGGCTTGTTTTACTACATTTGTGGGATCCTTTGTGGGGACCAGAATGCTGGACCCAACCAGTTTAAAGGCCTGTTTGAAGACTTGGTTTTAGGGTTAGGGTTA